TCTCCTCCTTTGCCCTCTTTGTTGCCTCCTTCTCCTTTCCTTACAGTCCTAATATACAGCTATTTTCCGCATAACACAAGCAACCTTGGTCTCTAACTTCAAACATCACAAGTTGTCACAGAATATGCTCTCATCTTTCTTGTCAGCCTAGGTGGTTCTCTTATTGTTTGGCAGCCAGAGCTCTCTGCATTTTCAATGCCTCACTCTAAATCACACTCCTTTCCCCTCTAATCCCACCATATGATCTTGTTACACGATGTCTAAAGCAGTCACAATGACTGATTCTTTAATAGACACAGACCTTTTCTATAGCAAGCTTCTAATCTAAATATTTAAGCCAAGTCTCACTGGCTCCAGCCATTGAACAGGCTTTTGTGAAGTCTCCTTTTGTGATTATAAGGCAAGTGCTCAGGGAAAGCAGACTCATTTTAATAAAATTACAAGCCCAGCATTACTAGCAAAGTAAATCTATTGCTAGGGAAAATAATTGTGATAGTCATATGTGATTTAGGACAATGCTGTATAGGAATATATCATTATTCCCGTCCATATTACATATGGATAATTGAGTTTATTGGTACTTAAGACAAATGAACATTATGCATGAGAAGATAAAAATTCATAGTTAATTTTCCCCTGCCTTCCTCACTTAAAAGACTAAACATCTGCTGACTGTAGGCATGGTCCCAAACTAGTAAAAAACCTCACCTGAAAAACAGTGGAAGTCTTAAACCCAAAAAGAGGGTAGGTGTCCTGACCCCTCACCCTAGTGCACAGTGCAACAGTTTTTCTGCTTCAGTGGGGAGCACAAGTGAATGCAAGAAGGAGCTGGGGAAACTAGTAAGAGCAGGAGATTCAGCCCCTTCTATGAAGAAATAAAATTTAAGCCACCAAGATCAAGGACATTTCACCAATTCTACTCTGATTTCAGTTTAGACTATAGGGACTCTTAGTAGGGACCAGAATCATTTAGTTGGGAGTTCCTTCAATAATAGTATAGGTGGCAACAAAAACAAAGACCAGTTCCAAGAAAGAGGCTGGAAAGTAAGGACCCTCTGGCCCAGAGGCCCTCTCTGACTGAGCTAAGACTTAGTTTTATAATCCAGCCCCCATATTACCCCAGCAGATGGAAAACCAGCAACTGGGGAATAGTCATGGACCACATATAGTGATGATGTGACAGGAAAATGTCCTTGGTGTTAGATTCATCCCCCAAGAACTCCAGATGCTGAGTGAAAGGGTGGGTATCTATATCCTTCATGCAGGGATCCTGTCAAGTTAGACTTTGGTTTATATAGTTCAGACTTGTCAGGTGGCTGATCTCTAGCATTCCTAGTAGTCAGGATATGTCAGCTTGAGGGAGACATGATAAGTTCAGAACGATTCTAGGGTGGTAACAATGGAACAGTTGATCCTGGTGACATCACTAACCTTAAAAATCAATTATAAATTAAGAAAAAAATATATCCATTAAAATTAAACACTTTAGCACTTCATTAACATGGGCCAAGTGAGGTGAAGGTGATTAAGAAACAACATGATCTCCAAGCATAAGTTGAATCTCCAAAATCCATGCATGTTGTGGATGAAAACTGGGAAATGTTTTTTTAGCTACCTATATGGCTTGTAGAGGTGAATGTATGAATCTAGTAAGGATCCATGCTATAAAGATTAGAGGTTTATGAAATGCTTTAGTGTGGTGTCTGGTAATTGAAAGCATGTGATAAGGCCTCAGAGAGCCCAAAAATAATGGTATTTTCATATACTGAACACTTGTAGGTTTGAGTATTGTTCTAGGGCTTAAAAATTTGTTCTTTTTAAAAATTTTATGTAGAAGAACTGGGGGGTAGGCCAGAGGTGTGTGTGGGGGTTAGTAGGGAGTTGAGAGGATTCACCAGAGACAGAGTGGGGAGCAGAATGCAGACCTACTGAAATACACTACTGAGGGGAGCAGGCATGAGGTGATTATGTAAACCAACACAGCTAGTTGATGGCAGAGTTAGTATTTAAGCCAGGAAGCCTGGCTTTAGAACCTGTGCATTTAATACCTTGCTGATACCTTAAAATTGTCATAATACTAGCTGGGAAGACAAAGACCACCTGTGTATTGTTAGAAAAGGCCTACACTGTTTCTGTGAACTCTGCCATCAATAGGTGGTAACCTTATGTCCAAAAAGAAGTAAGGAGGGTTTAATGGTAGGTAGCATGGCCTATGCTAATCAATTAAACTGGGACACTTTCAATAGTAAATAGGGGTGTTGTTGATAACTTCACCTGGAAAGCAAATATAAAATTAGATAGCACTGGGAAAAGTAGGCCTGTGATTATTTATACTACCTACAATATATGCTTTAACTTCAAAAACCTGCACACACTGGTGAAACTGCCTATACTGGTCCATATATCAATATGTATATGTTATTATAATGGTTATTTTCTCCAGACCATGTGCCTGTGTTTTATGGGCAACACAAAGGATTTTCAAGAATAATCTTCACTGTGTTTTTACTCTGATGATGTAATTTAACCATCACAAAAACCAGTCTGTATACTGGTTAAGTGTTTTCAAACAAATCCTATGATCCAGCAGGCTAGCCAACCTGTAGAATATGTTTTTATTTTTTTAAAAGATTTATTTATTTGTGCATACAGAACTGGGGTACAGGCCAGAGGTGCAGGGGCAATTTGAGGATTCACCAGAGACAGAGTGGGGATCAGAACAGACAGATCTACTGAAATATACTGCTGAGGGGAGCAGCAGATGGGTCAGGAGAGGTCTGCCCACCATGTGGATCACTTCTAGGGCAGGCGGGGATTGAACTCATGCTGAAGTGGCTTTAGCTTCCTAGTGCTGTGCTTTAATCTGCTGTGCCACCAGGGAGGGCCAAAAATTGTTTATGAGAGATGCCATAAAATGAACATCTTTTGACTTCCTATAACAATTAGCATAAATTTCAAATGAGGTTTGAACAGTGTTTTTAACTCTTGTAAGATTAATATATCTTTTACAAAATGTATCCCTTCTCTAAGCTTGTTGAGTTCCCATGTGCCAGCCACCTTGTTACATGTTGGAGACACAACAGAAACAAACAAGTTGGTGTTAGAAACTAGTGTCTGCCCACACTGTGCGCTCTTTGCTACTGTTGTGTCCTCCCTGCCAGGTCCCTTCATCTGAGAAAGCAAACAGGTTTGTTTCTAGACTAGCTTGCTTTATTTTACAACCTCCCAAAAACAAATATTGGGCATCTTTTAATATATTTATTTGCCATCTTTATATTCTCTTTGGTGAAGTGTCTTTCAGATAAGTTTATTATTTTTGAGTTTTAAAACATACATGTTATGGTGGATGTTAGTCTTTCTGGGTGAAGATATTCTTTTAACAGTCCTTCACAGAGCACAAGTTTTAGATTTAGTAAACCCTAACTTATTACTGTTTTAATCTCATTGATTGGGCTTTTGGTATTATATCACCAAGTTCAAGATCACATAGATTTTTTTCTCCCTTATTTTTTCTAGAAATTGTATACTTTTGCACTTTAAATTTAGGTCTAGGATTTATCTTCAGTTAATTGTTTTTGAAAGGTCTACCTTTTGAGAAACATCTCGGCTCAGTTTTGCATATAATTGTGAATTGTTCATTAACATTTATTGAAAAGTCTACCTTTTTTCATTAAATTGCTTTTGTTCCTTTTTTTAATGATCATTGACTGAATTTCTGTGGGTTATACTCTGGACTCTTATTCTTTTCCATTGATTCATGTCTAGTCTGTTATTAATATCATGTTGATTATGCTAGCTTTATAGTAGGTCATGAAATTATTTGAATGGAGCTTCCAGCTTTGTTCTTCAGTATTGTGATTTCTATTCAAGGCTTTTTTTCTTCCCATATAAAATTTAGAATTTGTTTGCCAAAAGCTACAAAATCACTTGTTGACAATTGTCATTTTATTTTATATAGTCATATTTTAGGAAACTAGGTGTTTTTCCCAAATATGAAAATGTGCTAAATAGGCATTAGTTGTAATTGCTGAACTTCATTATTAGTAATTGCTATAAACTAAAATTCAATTTCCCATAACAATAATACAATTCTATTTTTATATTAAAATAAGCACTACATTCTCATGGTTAAGGTTTCCTTAACCTAGGAACTGCTGGGAAAGTTTCTTGGAAATACGCTTCTATTTTCTTTTTTGAAAAGAAAGCACATTTACCTTATCTTCATTTATGTTAAATATTTTTAATGTTTTTAGCACCTACTTTATAACTCTCCTCCAGTTTTCTTTATTTTCACAATATAATGTAAGTTATGCGGTTTGTATTCTCAGGCACTTGATAAATATTGTAGAATATCTTTCTTCATGGAACTCAGAAATTTTACATTTGGGAGACACAATCTTAACAGTAAAATCGCAGAAAGGTGTAATTGCGCACTGTAATGAAAATTGCTGGGCTGGATAAAAACGAGTAAATAATAGGAAAATTTGTAAAATCGAACAATTTGAACAAGCAGGTATATAAATCACGAAGTACAATGCAAGATTCACATCACTTTTTCACATATTTAAAATGAAAGGCACCAAAGCAAAACACAGAAATCTTTAAATATTGTCCTTGCTGCTAGCTAGCATTGCTCTTCTGCCCAGCTCCCTCCAACCTGCTCCTCCCGGGCAGGAAAACTGGCGAAAAAGGTATTTTGGTGGGAAAGTTTGAGTTATAAATTTAACGTCTGTGAACATCTAATTTCCTTCGGTGATAAAATGAGGAGCTAGAAGAAAGGGCGTACTACCATGCAAAGTTCGTCAGGCAAATATACATCAATCCCGCGCAGGGTAATTCTAAAACTACAGACAGCTAGGTGACCACAGACTGACACTGCCCTGTGAGGCCCGGATATGCGCATGCGCCCCTAGGGAAGCGGTGCCTTCCTTTTCGTAGTCGGAAGTCCTGGTTTGTTTATTCAGTCACGACCGTCGTAAACGAGGGCTTTGCGACGGCTTCGTGCTTTACGACGACAACAACTATGGCGGCTGCCAGTGGTAGATTTGAAAGTGCAAGGAGTATCGAAGAGCGTAAAGAACAGACCCGGATTGCCAGGGCGGAGGTGCTATGCCAGGTACCTCCGTTTTGGGATTTTGGAGCTTTTTAGAATTGCGAAAGCGGAGGGTTTCTGGAAGGTGGGCCTCTGGCTGTCCTCCCGCCCACCCCGCCCTTCACCACCGCAGTAGCTCACCTTAATTAAGTTGTGTGCACAGTATGGTATCACCCGTCTTCCAGATACTCCCGCTTGCCGCTCATTTTTTGTCGAGGAAATCCTGTTTCTTTCTTCTGAGTTAACTTTTAAAAATCCAGTTTTGATCTTTCTATCACCCAGCGTATTTCACAGCCTCTTTTTTCGTTTCTGTTGTGTCTGAAACAAAGGTTTCCGGAACACACGTAGGCTGCTTGAAAGTGACCTGTTTGACTGTTTAATTTTCCTGTCTTACTATTGGCATTGGTTCCAAGCTTATTATAAACCACTACTGATCCAAAACAAGGGTTGTCACAGAGACCCAGACAATTTAACTTCTCGAAAAAGATTGAGAAACACTGTATTTCTCCTTCAGATTGGTGTGCTTGGCGGTAACTTACCGCCATGGCTGGAAGTAAAGTGTATTGAATTATCTGACAAGATGAAAGAAGCATGGCAATGAAGGGAAAAGCTTTAGTTGGAGAGCAACATAGGGTACAAGTAAGGGAACGTGTTTTATTTGTTTTAACTTGGAAGAGCTTTAAACAAGTTTAAATACAGATGAGGAGACAGTGAAGGAGAGAGGGAGAAGGAATGACTATAACCATCCTTTAAAGGAGCAAGAATGGGTGATTAGGTTTGGCATTCTCTCCTAATTACAGCTAAAGTAACATAGATGTTTAGTAAGTGTTCTTTATCCTTGTCTTTTTTGATATTTAAGACAGTTTTGGGATGGGTTAGGGCTTGTAAGCCGTGATAAATTTACAGTAGAAGAACGCATAGAGTTTGAATAGGTCGAAACCTTTGGAGTTTGGGGACAAAATGAAAGGATGGCCTTTTGGAGACAACTCACTTTATATTACTGTTATTGAAGGGTTAATAAAACTAGCAACAATATGATCATTTCACTTTAGTTATGTGATATGAAGTTGAATAAAGGAATGTGATATGAAGTTGAATAAAGGAAATCTGATTCAGAATATAATCAGAAAATTATGAAAAGAAGGATCTCATACATCTGCCCCATTGCAGCTTACAAAAAGCCTAGGCACATTATCAAGCCTCCTTGCCCAGCAATCCACCATTTGTACAGAAACTCTGTACCCTTTAGGTCAATGAACTTTCATTCAAAAATCACCCTTTCCAGTGTCCTCCTAAAATCTTATTAAAAGTTAACTTTCCCTCTGCTTCTACAGACTTGCTTTTGGTTCCCCTGACTTTGCCCAGATTATAAATTCTCTTGCTATTTTGAGTAAATTCAGGTGGATGAGCTAGGGATCCTAGTCCTTCATTTCAAGGTTGAAAGTGATTGGTAATGGAAGGAGAGGGTTTTTCCTTTCTTTGCCGGGTCCTTTCACACACATGACTGTCATTTTGGTATTCTTGTTTTAGGATCTTATGCAGTAAACTATTTTACCCCAGAAAATTGCATGCCTGCACTTACTGCTAGTTTGAGGGACAAGTGCTGCCAAGTGGTTTACTAGAGGGTTTTTATTTTTTATCATTTTTATCTTCCCTATAGTTGAAGAGATGCAAATTCCTAGCAAGGGACACATGGGGGTTGATTTGTGAGACCTTATATAAAAGTGGGAGAAGTTTTTGTTTTACCTCTGTGTGAAAAGCACCTGGATCAATTTTAGTTTTTCTTTTCTCATTGTTTTAGGCCAAAGCCAAATTTGAAAAAGAAGAAAGGCGTAAAGAACTTAAACGACTTCGGGGTGAGGATACATGGATGCTACCTGATGTGAATGAGCGAATTGAACAGTTCTCACAGGTGAATACTAACATATCTACTTAATATAAAACCCATTTTTTTCTTTCCCAATTTAATTTTTTTTTTAAAGATTTATTTATTTGTACATACAGAACTGGGGTACAGGCCAGAGGCTCAGGGGTGGTGAGAGGCTCACCAGAGACAGAGTGGGGAGCAGAACAGGTAGATCAACGAAGTACACTGCTGAGGGGAGCAGAGGGTGGGCCAGGAGAGGTCTGCCACACCATGTGGTCTCCTCCAGGGCAGGCGGGAATTGAACTCATGCGGAAGTGGCTTTTTAGCTTCTCAGTGCAGTGCTTTAACCCTCTGTGCCACCAGGGAGGACCCCCAATTTAATTTTTTAAAGGTTTATTTATTGATGCATATAAGAGCTGTGGTGTAGGTCAGAGCTGCAAGGGGTAAGAAGATTCACCAGGGACAGAGCAGGGACCAGAACAGGCTAACTGAGTGAAATACACTGCTGTGGGGAGCAGCGAGTGGTCTGCTATGCCATGTGGGGCACCTCCCTGGCTGGGGATTGAACTTGTGATTTGCTGTAGTGGCTGCTGATTGCTTCATAGTGCTGCATTCTAACCCATAGAGCCCGTAGGGAGGCCTCCTTCCCCAATCTTAAACTTATTTTCTTGTTATATTTTATAGGACCTAGTAATCCATAAACTTTTATAGCTATTGGTAGATGTAACACATGCATATTTATATACATCCTTTTGTGTACATATGTATTTGTTAGATTATATCTGTTTTTCAAATGAATTTATAAATAAGTCTAAATGTTCTCTCATATTTTTCTAATAAGTTTTCTCAGCTATATAATTTATTAGTAGTGCACATATTCTAGAAGCTTGTTAAGCTTCCTTAGAAAATTTTATTTAATTATATTCCTTGTCTCATTTCATGAAAGATTTAGTTTTGGAACATAGTTCTTTTTTCTTCTCCAGAAAGTTCCTGTGTAAGTAAGATAAAACTAAATTTCTTTTTTACCTCTTCAAAAATGAATATAGGAACATTCTGTGAAAAAGAAGAAGAAAAAAGACAAGCACTCAAAAAAAGCAAAGAAGGAGAAGAAAAAGAAGAGCAAAAAACAGAAGTATGACAAAAGCAATGAGTCCAGTGATAGTTCGTCAGTAAGTATGCACTAAGACTAGCCAGAGCAGCTATTTGAGAAAAATGTATACAATGGACTAATGTTTGGAAACTCAAATACATAAGAACTTAAAAATATACTACTAATTAGAATTTGAAAATGCTTAGATGATAACCTATTTGGAGATGTTCTGAAAATACTGGAAATGCTGGTTAAGAAAAAGGTAAGAGGATATGACCTGGGGATCATTGCCTATTGAAGCTGTAGAATGGATGGAAAACTGAAAAGACAGCACAAGCACTGAGGAGCCTGTCAGGAAGTAAAGGAAGTTAAGTAGAAATAGCTAGAAAAGTAGGAGAAGCAGGAAAAAACAGTACTGTGAAAATCAGAGTTGAAGACATTTGAGAGTCTGTTACCCCTGTTTCTTTGTAATAGACATAATATTTTAAGGTTTTTTGTTTTGTTTTGTTTTAAAGTTTTAAAAATAGGATATATTTATTTGTCTTCTGGCCTAAAGGAAGAGAATGGTGGGTTGGTTCTGGTTCTAGCCCGTTCTGGAATGAGGGGACTTACGGAGCTGAGACAGAGGTCCAACCCTTCATGTTTGTTTTCTGGAGGAAAGAGGCACATTGCTCTTAAGGCTGATGAGTGCAGTTGTTTAGGTTCATTTGTTCTCCTTTGTATGTTCTTCAGAAGTTTATGCTCTCCGTTAAGTCACTATATTTCAAAGTCTGGCCCTTGTATAGTCTGATGAACTAAAATTTTGGTAGGATACTCTCACATGATATTGATTCATGACAGTCTTATATGAGAAAGCAGTATATTAATTGATAGTCAGATATAACTGGATAGGTTTGTAGAACTAGCATATTTTGTAACGGTAGGAATATTTAAGCTTTATAGAAAAAAATTTTTGGCTTATGACTCAGAAAATGGACTTAGAAGGTCTTAAAGTGAAAATAAACTAGAAGCCCTGTTTCACAGTTATGGGCGACCGACCCACTAAGAATTTGATAAAGGTAAGTGATCCTTTCTCCTAAAGGCTTATAAAACTCCTGGAGTACATGCAGGGATCACAAATTAAGAATCCTTGTCCTGTGGGGGTAGATCTGCCAGATTAATTAAATGCTTAAATCATTTGATTAAAGGCATTTGCTTCCTCTTATGAGAGAAACATTATACTTTTTCTTTTTTCTTTCCTAGAAATACTTGCAACATTTTTTTGTTGCAATGAACAGTATATATGTACCTTTATATGTACCCAGTAAGATGTATAACATATTCCTTACTGAGAAAAGTCTACATGCATGCTGGATGTCCTCATCCCAGTGAAGTGGATGAAAAACTGAAAGAGATGCAAGCCCTGATGGGGAAGGGAAGGAGGAAAAGGGTTGCTAGAGTTAGGGTCTTAAAAGGGGGAAATGTGTGCAGCAAGAGCAGGATAAGTAATCGTGAGGAGAATGAGTTTGGGTTAGCAATGTCCCAGGGGATGGTAAGCACTGATCCAGAGTAGGTCATCTTCTCTTCTGAGCTAGGAGGGAATTTGTAAAGGTATGTGCAGCTATAGATAGACATGGAGGAGGACTGGGGAGGAAGGGAGTAGGTTGTTGATAGTGTTTCTGTGCTCTTTTTTTTTTTTTTAAAAGATTATTTGTGCATACAGAACTGGGGTACAGGCCAGAGAAGCAGGGGTGGTGAGAGGA